TATTCACTCTTATTGCTTCTTCCCATATCTAGAGTTACACTGTAACCATCATCATTCTCATATGGAACTATATATTATTTTATCAGAGGCTTCAGTCACACATTTGGCAGTGTAAGAAACAGCAATTTTGTAAAACAGGTGAAATGCAAATAACATAGCCAGCAGTATTAGTAAAGTCATAAGTAAAACTTAAGTTAAGAGCTTGCATTAGATGTAGCCCAGTATATCCCAGGTCATCTGACTTAGTCTACTCTGTACGAATCTTTATCTTCCAGGCAAATTATATATTGGCACTGTCTATAGGCACATAGCCCAGTTTTCTAGTGTTACTAGACTGATTATCTTTAGTGTGATTTAATTGTTTCCAACATAGAGGAGACTTTAAACCTAAATTACCATAGTCTGGTGTTATCTTTATAAATCCATCCCATAACTGTGGGAGGTTTTTTCCTTTGCTGAAACTTTGCTTGTTGCTCTGATTGAACTTGAATAATAGAAGAAAACTCAAATTTATGGCCAGAGTCAGAGCAGGCATTATTAATTGGCCAGGTGAGGAGATCCCATCTAGTAATATCAATAGTGACCTGAATATGACTATAATTTTTTTTTTAAGTAAATTTTATTAGGGCCAACCAGTTAGAGCCTTGTAGTAGAGAAATTTACTAAGATAACCCAGAACTAGACACAGGTAATTGGCCACAAACCCAACAATTGGATTGATTTCTAAAACTACCATGGGATCAAGCTTTTGATAGAAAAGCATTTGATTTATATGCAAAGGTCTAAGAAGTCAAGAAAGCATTATAAATGATCATACAAATCAGGTCCAACATCTTGGGCAAGCTCTCTACCTCTGAGGTCATCATTTTCTCATCCTGGTGTAGTGTAGTTTCTCCTCTGTTTGAGCATCATTTTAAGGTGCGATCAGGCCAGCTGTCTTCTCTATAGACCAATCCAGTAGAGTGGCCTTCAGTTTCATTGTGCATGAGCTAGTTAAGAATACCTGATAAAAAAAAGTCCTTCCATCTAGGTTGGAGACAGTCCCTTAAATTATGTCTTTTTCCGGTCCTGGTTGCAGGTCATGAGGCATCTGATCTTCATCCAAAGATAGATTTTGGAGATAAGCTTCAGAAACAAACCTAGGGTGTTCTTTAAGAATTCTATTAAATTTTACATTAATATCACATAACAGCAAAGAACTATCCAAGAAATGAGTCTTACTAGACACAGACCTCCATTAACAAACTGGGATTTAACATTTATTGAAACATCTTTTTCTCCCTAAAATTACCCTCATTTTTATCAAATATAACCAAATTAAGACTAGTTTGTTTGCAAAATAGGTCTGTTCTCACTAATTTTTGTCTGGTTATTTATATAACCATAATTGATCATAGACTTTTTCTTTTGCTGAAACATTTAGAGTCTCAGACTGAACTTTTAAAAGAAAACAGTGCTGGGAAACTCACACCAAAGGCTTATCACAGATTTCGCCTAATAAATCTAGGTGAATTCTTCTCTTTTTAAGGTCTCAAAAATTCCTTGAGATTTTATACCTGTTAGTGAGTTAAAGTTTCTAATTCATTTGATAAACTTAACTGGAAACCTAAGAGTTTCCAATTTCTGCAGGAGCCAGATAGAAAGAAAATATAATTGTTTTGTTTATAATGTATAGGAGAAGGCAATGGCAACCCACTCCAGTACTCTTGCCTGGAAAATCCCATGGAAGGAGGAGCCTGGTAGGCTGCAGACCATGGGGTCGCGAAGAGTGGGACACGACTGAACGACTTCACTTTCACTTTATAACGTAGAATTTTACCAAATTATTGTCATAATTAGTTTGAGAGGAATGTTTTCCCTACTCCTGGAAAACACAAGATTCAAACCTGTAATTTTTCAGATAGAAATCATAAAAGTTATAAGCATATTCACTGGTTCATTCAGTCCTTTTGTTAACTTCTGTGAAGTCATTAGGTTTTCCATTAGAATACCAGGACATATCAGAATGTTAAGAACTCCATATAATTTCTAGGATATCTATATTAGTAATTTTACCACACATGATAACATGAGAGGATTTATTTGATAATATTTTTCATGTAATTTAACCAACCAAATAAACACAATTAGTTTAATATCTCTCTTTGGGATATTTCAGGGGCCTTCTGAAGCACCCCCAGAGAAGGCAATGGCAACCCACTCCAGTACTCTTGCCTGGGAAATCCCATGATGGAGGAGCCTGGTAGGCTACAGTCCATGGGGTCGGGAAGAGTCAGACACAACTGAGCGACTTCACTTTCACTTTTCACTTTCATGCACTGGAGAAGGAAATGGCAACCCACTCCAGTACTCTTGCCTGGAGAATCCCAGGGATGGGAGCCTGGTGGGCTGCCATCTATGGGGTCGCACATAGTCGGACATGACTGATGTGACTTAGCAGCAGCAGCAGCTGAAGCATCCCAAAGTTAGCCAGAGGTCAAAAAAACTTCAAAAGAATTCGATTTAGGAAGTTTTGTCAAAAAAATCAATTAAAAAGGTTTAGAACATTTGGCAAGATTTAGTCAATGTTGATGAGTGTATCATTTAGCTTGTTGACGTGTCACAATGGGCATAAATACCGAGGCTCAAGGTCTAGTGAAAGTCAACTCTGCCATATTGACCTAGTTGGCGCTAACCAGTTTTCCTATAGCTGTGTCATTTCTAACAAAATTCATTTATCTAACTAATTGTAATCCAATTTTTAAAAAATCCTGATCATGCATAACTCTTTTTAGTATTTTTTCGTATCTTTTTTTTTAACTGAAAACACACTTCCTACTTTCCTTTAGCAACCAAGAACTAACTTTTATATTAGCATTTTATAGATTGGTGAGCATAAATACCAGTGATAATTTTGAAAACCCTTGCTTTCTTAAAACCTTTTAGGATGGCACCACATGTTATTAATTTATAGTCCAAAATCTCTTTAGTTTTTCCATAAAAGGACATCAGTGTTTAGTAGTAAATGTTTCAAAATCTTATTTTTTTGGAAATGACCTAACTATTCAACAGATTTCTAACACTTAGTTTAGCACAACCCTTAGAAATTCAAGTTACCCCAATCTACAGAGACTATTTTAGACTGATATTCCTAAAGCATAATTATTCTTAATAGAGCTTATCTAAAAGCTCATATCTCATTTACATTTTTTTAGAAATTTCTTCACTCGAGGTAATTGCCTTATTGACAAACTTGTAACAGATATGATAATATTTAGCTTATATTAAACCTAGGTACAATGAAAATATTCTACTTAATGTTAATTACTTTAAGATATGCCTATATTAGATAGGTCAACAAACATTAATATCAGATATTTAATACTGAACATTTACCTGGAATTACCAGGAATTACCTGGAATTACCAGGTTCACATGAACCTGGAATTTATTGTTTTATTTAGAATTATTTGATTTGTAAGCGCTTACCTTTCTTTAAGGCAATTAAATAGAGCTCATTTACAAGTTAATCTCAACAATATTATCCAAAGACAAAGACATACCAAGACATATTTAGACAGACACAAGGCAAGATCTAGCTTCATTTTCTAAGCCTAGTCATGAATTAGATATTACAATATAAAATTTACTAGTTTATAAAAAACTTGGAATAAATAAAATTTTTACAGGCTTTTTCACATTTTCCCTCAGTGTCAGGAGATAGAGATGGTCTAGATAAGTGTTCCTGAGAGCCCTGGTCTCAAGGAACAGGGAAAGAAAATCAAGTACTAACAAAATGGCAGCAGGTCTAAACCAGATGGTAGCCAGACAAAGCAAAATGGCCGTCAAAAATCACAACACAGAACACAGAGTTAAAACACACATATAGACCTGGCAGTCCTCATCAGACACTCCCTTAAATACAAGAATACAGTCTCTCAGAAAACCTCCTATAGAGACACAGAATTTCAGATCCAAGTACTAACAGAGTAAATGAAAATATCTCAGGTCTTCAAACATTTCAAAGGGAGGAAAGGAAGCCAGGTTGAAAGAAGAAGGGGGAGAAGGCAGGAGAGGGGGGCAAAAGGGGTGACCTTACAGACGTCTCCTGCCACCTGCAGATACCCAGGTATTATGGGACATTACCCTGGGCCTCCAGAGAAGGGAGAACTGGAACTTGGCCCTACCAAAAACCAGACCAAAACAGAACCAGAATTCGAGTTCTCTGCCAAGAGGAGGTGATCAGTCTCCAATCCTCAGCTCAGGCTGAAGCCCTTTGACCAGATTCCTGTGTTCAGGACCAGGGGACTAGAAAAGAGGGGAAGGATAGGAAGGGTTAAGGAGAGGAAAGATGAGAGAGGTCAGTAAAACCTCTTGTCCCTTACTGGTTGGGGCACTCTGGCCAGTTGTCCATGTCAGGAGGAGACCAGGGACAAAAGGGTCCCAGTTGCGGTCGCTGGGTCTGGTCCTTTGGCAGGCAAGCTGGCCCCTGAGTACCCCGAGTGGTCAGGATGTCAGTCACAGTGAAGAAGAGTCCCACCAGAGTCCTCATTTGTTGCAGGAAGGGGGACCCCTTCCAGGGCCTGAAACTGGGCTCTTGTCTAACACTCGGAAATGAACTGTCCGAGGAGACACATTTGCTGACAAAGCAAGAAATTTTATTGGGAAAGGGCACCCGGGTGGAGAGCAGTAGGGTAAGGGAAACCAGGAGAACAGCTCTGCCATGTGGCTCAAAGTCTTGGGTTTTATTGTGATGGGATTAGTTTCCGGGTTGTCTTCTGACTCAGAGTCCTTCCTGGTGGTGCACACCTTATTCAGCCAAGATGGATGCCAGAGAGGATTCCGGGAGTGGTTGGACATGTGGTGTCTCTTTTTGACCTTTCCTGAACTCTTCTGGTTGGGGGTGGCTTATTAGTTCCGTGTTGCTTACCAGGACCTCCTGTTGTAAAACAACTCATGCAAATGGTTATGATGGTGCCTGGCCAGGGTGGGCAGTTTCAGTCAGTGTGCTTCCCCTAACATTAGTAAGACCAGGACAGGGAGCTGAATTCAGGCCTTCTGGCTGCACGTTCTAAGCTTCCCCAGTTGAACTGATGGATCCAGAGTCTGACACAAGGATTGAAATTCTGGGTGTGTGAGGCCATTATGATCAGTTGGCTCCGTCTGGAATTGATCCTGGTCTTGTAGGCTAATCGGCTCTCGGGAAAAGAAAAAGAAATAAATAACTGACCAACTGGTTGCAGAATAATGCTTTTCATTCCCTCAGAGATTCTCCTTCAGTTGCTTCACAGTCAGATTCTGCCTTCCTCTGAGGGAAGAACACACCTGTTCTTTTTTTGCGTTCTTTTCCCCAGCTCTTGCTAAACTCCTCCCCTGACTCCATCAGCGTCATCACCTGTCCCTGCTGCCACAACCGTCCGCGACAGGGACAGAAGTCACAGGACACAAGGACAAGATCCAGGAGTGAAAACCCAAGGCCCTTCTGCCTTGAACCCAGATCCATTCGCTAATGCAATGCAAGGCTCCCTCACAGACAGGACCCAGCTCCATGTTCCTCCAGCCTGGGAGTGTACACACACACAGCTCCTTTCTCTCCTCATTTCTTGGCCTTCTCACCCACACAAGTACCTGCTCCACCACCCAGTTCCACCTCAGCCCTGGCCTCCACCTCCTGCAGCCCCCCTCCCCCTCGCCCCCAGCCCTGAGCCAGCAGCTCCGAACTGGAAAGCCCATCTGGAGGCCCAGGGGACAGCAGCCCTGTCTAGAAACACTGGGCTGCCCCGGACTCTCCCCCTGACTGGACCCTGGAGCACCCCTGTCCTCGCCCCAACCCTCACTCTCTGCCCAGGCTCCTAGGCTGCACTTGGCCTTTCCTGCTCCTTCCTGGGAATCCCAGCTCCACTCCAAGTGCTGGGCTGAGCTGAGGCAGAGCAGGCCCTCCTGCCTTGCTCAGCCAGGGAGTCAACCAGGACCCGCCCTCACTACCTGCAGGGGATCTGCTTTTCAATGTGGATTGGGGTTCTTGAGAATTTCCCCAGAATGAGGCTGTACCTGGCTCCCTCTGCACCTTGGGACTGCCATCCCACCCTCCACCTCCCATCAGGAGTGCCCCATTTGAATTCCTGTTTCATTCAGTACGCATGGAATCCTATTAAGATTTGCCACGTGAAATCATAAACAATTTTATTGAACATTAAAAACTTCAAAAGTGATTTTGAGATGATTTTCACAGTTTTCCCGGCAAATGCCCCAATACATACAAGACAACCATTTATGCCCCAGAGGAACCAGAATTGATGTTCCCCAGAGAAGAACAGGAGAAAGTACAGATCTGCTGGGTCCCTGCTCTGGGTGCCACACGGACAGAGTCTGCTTCTGTGAGAACTAACCATCCCTGTATGCCCAGGCCAAAGGCTGACTGATAAGAGAATTAGGTTTGGGGATAAGAAGCCATGCTCCCAACAAGGCAAATGACACAGAAGAGGTGGCCTCGACAGGAGCCGAGTCTCTGCCACCTTTTTCCTGTTCCACGTTCTGCCTTTGCACTTTGCCACACACAAAGCTCTGCTTCTCTTTCCCTCTCCACTCAACCCACTCAATGATGGGGAAATCAAAGTGATCATCCCTTCCTCAAAATCGACAAGACCTCCATGAGCAAGGGAACTGACTCAGGGGGGCAGGTGAGGCCACGGAGCGCAGACCGAATGCCCTGCTCTAAAGAGCCCTTGGACTGTGTCCCAAGGGGCGAGGTAGGAAAAACCTGGAGATAGGATAAAATCAGTGACCCCAGTTGCCTGAGGACTGACTGGTCTCCTCTCCTCAAATGGTCAAGGGATATCTACCAGTTCTCCATATTATGGGGAAGGAGAGCCCAGTTAGCATGGGGGCACTTGATGGGAACCTGAGAAAGGTGCAGGCTAGGAGTGATCCAGCAGACACTCAACTCAGAAGATAGTTCGTGGAGGAGGAATTTGAGAGGCTGCCAGACATCTCTAAGTGGGGCCTGGCAAGGGGACATCACATGCAGGGCTCTGACTATCCACTGACCCCTAGTTTGAGCCTTATGATTCTTTCACTTGGATTCTGAAGAATGACAGAAAACCCAAGGGGGGAGAAATGCAGACAGGCACTTAGGTCATCACCTTTCCTCTGAATTCCTCTTCAGGTTTTTATCCCCTCCTCACCAGGTACAGACACTTTACTAAAGATTCTCTCTGATTCCTCGATCACCTAGACGCTCCCAACCAGCACATAATCCAACACGTGACAAGCCGCAGTGAGCCTGACAGAAAACAAAGCTGAGAACAGAGCAGGGAGCCGAAATCCTCATCGCTGCCGAATCTCAGCCAGAGCACCCCCGCCCAGATTTCTTACCTGGCCTCGCTGTAGCTGATGCTGTCATCCTGTTAATCTAGACACAAAATCCGATGATAGCAACAACAGTGCTCACAATGATCCACAGTGATCTCTGGTGCACTAGGGTGTTTCCTGAAAAAGGACCTTATTATATACATCCCGGGCACCCCAGAGCCACAACCTGCTCTCCTCTCCCTGACCCTGGCCTCTGACCCTCCCAGGGTCACAACGCCCTCCAGGCTCACCCCAGTCTCACCCAAGGATGCAAGGTGTGTACTGTGATTCCCACTGTGTCCCACAAGGCACTTGACCCGCTGCTCCTCTCCTTGGGGAATTATTATGGTTTCCCAGGTATAGTAGGTCCCGTTCCCATCAGGCAGGACACCCCCAGACTCCAGGGTGTCCCGGCTCATGGGTTCCTCATCCCGAAACCAGGCCACTGAGATATTCCGGGGAAAGAAGCCAAAAGCCTTGCATGTGAGGTGGACCATGCCCTCCGAATCCTGGCTGCGGGTCACATTCACGGCTGGTGGCACTGTGGGGAGAAAGCACAGAGCCAGTGAGGCCCGCGGCCAAGCCCTGCTCCCTTGAAGGAAGACGGGGTGCACAGGGCTGCTCCTTCTCACTGTCACTTCTGGCTGAGCCCTCATCCCCCCAGGCCTGCTCCAAGTCTGTTCTGCACCCTGGGACCAAGTTCTCTGGTGGGGAAGGGGAGGGGTGGGATGGGCCTCACTCTCTTGGATCCACTGTTGATGCTGGGGAGGGAGCTGTGAAGGGTGGGCTCCTGGGGACTAGAGGGAATTTTCTGGATCAGGCAGGCTGGGAGCCAGGGGCCCATCCCCATCTAAGGGCCTCCTCTGCTGCCTGACACCCACCTCCCCTCGTACAGTTTCTATCAGAGGACCCACTGCTCCCCTGGACGATTGTCACAGAAGCAGTTCATTCCCCCCAACCCACCCATCTTTCTACAGTGGATTTAACAGAACAGGAAAGAAACCCCAGGACACCATGCCAACAGATCACATATGCGCCCAGAGGACAGGGAGGGTCTCCGTGGGCAAGTCGGGATGGGAGGCTTTAAGATCAGGGCAGCGGAAGGGCCTGGCCCAGGGTCAGTACCTGTCCTCTCCATGAAGCCCGTCCAGGATTCCAGGTAGCCCCGCAGTCTTCCACAAAGTTCTCCCTGCACGTGGGCCCGGTAATGCTTGCTTAGAAAGCCGTCTGTGTCCCAGGACTTCTCCATTTCCATGGCCAAGGTCCGAGACGAGGACTGGGGCAGGGCACATCCGTGGGCCTCCGGGTAACAGGAGAGGAGGAGCTCCCCATCGAAGTAGAGAAGCCTGAAGCCCCAGGCGCGGCTGTCTTCACGGATCTCACAGCCCACAGTCTCCTGGAGGGAATGTAAGCCTGCCCCATCCCCACCCCCCGAGCAGTGACTCCTCTGGTCCCGAGGGCCACTGTTCTCCCACCCAAATGAGAAAGTCCAGATAGAGGGCTTCCCCCTGTTCCCCGCCATGTCTTCCCTGTGCTGCTGAATTCACAGACCCCTATTCCTCACTCCCACCCCCATCCCCAAATTCAGAGGAAAGAGGCCCATGCTCTGGGCTGCAGACCCTCTTGGAAAATGGCCCACAGCACTCTTGCCCCCTCTGCCCTCTCACCTCTTTTCTCCTTCTGCAGGGACAGGATTTCTGCTAGAAGTTTTCTGAGCTCCTTACATGCCTCGTTCAAGTCCTTGGACTCTGTCTCCCATGTCTCTGCTCCCAGCCTTTCAGCCCACTGTCCCTGGGGCTCTGCCCTCCACTTTGTGTCATCAAAGTGCACGAAGGCCTGACCATCCAGGTATCCCATAGCAAAAAATCTGGCCTGAACAAAGCCATCCCAGGACAGCACTGTAGCGTTGTAAGAAAGACTGTGGGATCCTGGGGAAGGAGGAACCGCAGATGAAGCTGCTTTCTGGAGACAAGTGCACATCAGATGTTTAACAGAGAAGTTCTGTGTCCTGACCTACTCCAGGTGCTGAGGATGCAGAACAAGCATGTGTTCAAGGGACCAGAATGAGGATTTCCATACAGGAAAAATGTGAAAGAGAAGGAGGGAGAGGGGAATCGAGGAGTTGAGGAAGAGGGTGGAGATGGACACACATGTAGGACAAGTGCCAGGACAGGGAGGCCTTGGCTCCCTAAGGGTCCAGGCAGGAGAGCAAGGGGAGAGGCAGGAAGAGGGAGAGGGGAGGTGGAGTCGGAGGGAGGGAAGGGCAGTGTCAGACCCAGGACCAGAAAGATCCCTGGTCAAGAGGGGTCAGGTGAGATGGAGAGCTGCCGCCCCTGGTGCAGGCTCATCATGGACAAGGGGGGCTCCAGGGAGGGTGAGGCAGGAGGCAGAGGGGCCTGAGGGGCTGGGCTGTGGCCTCAAGAGAGATGAAGGTGGGCCAGTAACCTGGGGGAGGTGAAGGAGTGGGTCTGGGCCCAGAGTGCAAAGAGGCCTGGTGAGGCCCCGGGTGGGGGGTGTCCCCTGGGAGGAGTCAGTCTATGCGCACAAGGGTCATGGGGAATTAGGAGTAGGGTGGCAAGAGAAGACAGAAGTTAAAGCCAAGGTGCACACTGGGAAGCACCTACGTGGTGGGAGGGGTTGGAGGGAGTGACGTCACACCTCCACGGAGGGTCAGGGTCAGGCATCCAGCAAGCAGGGGTGGGGGCCTGGGAGAAGACTCCCTGTAGGAAAGGCCTGCTGATAAAGTGGCATAAATAAGGATTTTGGATACAAGACTGAGATAGTGAGAGCCTACTGGGGTCATGGAACCAAAGAGAGGGTGATGAAGGCTAAGGAGGTGGGCAGTGGACCAAGGGCAGTATTCCTACTGTGGGAAGGGAAGAGACTGCAAAGGAGATGTGGTGAGGGCCTGGGATTGAGGGGCAAGGGATGAGCATGGCTCAGGGGTGACCCCCCCCCCCCCATCTTGGGTTGAGGTAAAGACAGAAGAGGAGGGATGCCCTGGGTGAGGGAGAGTGAGGGTAAGGTGGAGATTCTGGGCACCAGGGGGCCTGTGATTGATGAGAACTTGGTGAGGGCCCAAGGCACTCGGACAAGGCTGGGAGCAGGGCAGGTGCCATGGGGGAAGCTGCAGACGGACCAGGGCAAGTGGAGTCCAGCACCTGTGGCCTGGAGAATGGAGGAATCCAGAGGGTGAGGTTTAGGATACAGAAGTGGGGGAGGGGCCGTGTTGGACGAAAGGCCCCCCTTGGATGAGGGCCAAGAGCAGGTGCTTGCACGGGGGCAGAGGTAGGAAGATGGGTGTCAAGTGGGGGACTGGTCCTTCCCCAGGGGCTGGGCACTGTGCTCAAGGCCCAGGGATCATTGGCGGGAGAGCTCCCTCCTGGTGATGATAATAGGGCATCACCTATTTGGAGGGGAAATCCATGGGCAAAAGTCATCCCAGGAAAAGTAAGGTGAGTGAAAGCTGAGGGGATGTAGAAGCCTTGCAGGTGACCGATCCTCGCAGGAAAAGACCCATGAGGGGACGGGGGCGGGGGGGGGGGGCGGGGGGTTGGGCGGGGGTAGGGGGGTGGGGGAGACCTGTAGCGGGAAAAGGGATGAGGGTGGGGACGCCCTAGGAAGAGCTCAGAGAACGATAGAGGGGAGGGGGCAGCACGGATGGGGGAGGGCAAATCCCGAGGGGGCTCGAGGGCCAACAAGGGAGGACGTTGGAAGAGATTCAGTTGTGGGACCACAGGCACAGCGGAAAATTAGAGTTCATGTTAGTGGGGGAGGGGGGAGTAAGGGGGGAGGGGAGGGGAGACCACGGAAACCGCAGGAAGAATCCTTTGGTCCCAAACCCTTCAAACCTAACCTCCGTCAGTGATTCAGGAGACGCCACAGTGCCCATAGCAGTAGGAAGAGGTGGATCGAGCTTGCCCCTTCCCAGAGGCCCGGGTCACTAGAAGATGGGCCTTAACTCTCGGGGCTGAGGACCTTTAACGCCGCCTGCCTGGAAACTCCTTGTTTCCGGCGGCCAGAAATATTCTTAGCAGAGCTAAGAATAGGAGAGGGCAGCTTTCAGGGGCCCAAGAGGGCGCCCCACAGACGGCTAAGAAGTGATCACCTGAGCCTGGGACCTGGAAGAACTTGGGCGCCATTCAAGAGAGCAGCGGGGCAGGGCGGGGGCGGGGGGGGTGGGCGTTGGTGAGCGGCAGGGAGCAGGGTGGGGACCAGGCTGCCTTGCCAGTCGGGGGAATCTGAGGACTAAGACGTGATGAGGAAACCGGGGAGGGCAGGTGGGGCAGGGAGAGCAGAGGCTAGGAACTGGAAAGAGACTGAAAAGCGGGATGCAGTGCTCGCCACACGCCGTGTGAAGTTCCCGGCCGCTCCTTGACCTTACACCCCAACCCCCCGGCCCTCACCTTCCTCCCACCCCCCCCAACTCCTCTATTCGCCCAAACCCCGCCGCAATTGAGACGGTCCCCGCGACCCTCACCGAATCTCATCGAATACTAACCACACGGACCCCTGAAACCACCCCGGGCTCCGTCCGGACTGAGACCTCAATGAACCCCACTCACCGGCGGCGGTACCCAGGAGCACAAAAAAGGCAGCGCCGGCTAGAAACGGCCAGACAAGAGAGTGCCCCATGCCCAGATCATGTCCCCCTGCCAGAGTCTCAGGGACCGCACAAAAGCTGGCGGACCCGAGAAATCGCGGCGGAGAACAGAGCTGGAAGTAGGGCTGACAAATCCATTCCTGCCCCTGGCCCCGCCCCGGCCCCGCCGCCGGTCTGCCCCCAGTCCAATATAGGAATTCCCTCCGCTCCTCCTTGGCGAATCCCATGGAGGGAGGAGCCTGGTAGGCCACAGTCCACCCGTCGCAAGAGCCGGAGACGACTGAGCTACTTCACGTCACTTCACTTCCGCTCCTCAGTTGTACTCTGCCTCTCATTACTAACCATTCCACTAAGATCCTTATGCAATACTTTTGTTGTGGGCCCAAATGTCATGCCTCAGAAAGTTTTAACATTTCTTAGATTTCGCATCATTTTTGTTAATTACTTTGACCATCATAATTTACTTAGCAGGTCAGAGATTGGGTCCTTTCCCATCCCAGAGAGATTCTTTTTCACTGCTAAAGCTCACAAGTGATAGGAGGCATAGAGTGGATGGAGTCTGCCTCCCAGTGCAGGGAACATGGTTCCATCCTTGCTCTGGGAAGACTCCACGTGCCCGGGAGCAGCTGAGCCCCTGTACCAGCTGGGCTTCCCTGGTGGCTCAGACGGTAAAGCGTCTGCTGTAATTCAGGAGACCTGGGTTCGACCCCTGGGTCGGGAAGATCCCCTGGAGAAGGAAATGGCAACCCGCTCCAGTACTCTTGCCTGGAAAATTCCATGGATGGAGGGGCCTGGTAGGCTACAGTCCACGGGCTCCCAAAGAGTTGGACACGACTGAGCCACTTCACTGGTTCACCACAACTACGGAACACCCCCTCCCCGCTCTAGACCGACTCCCGGCAACTAGAGAAGCCCGCCGTGCAGCAACAAAGACTCAGAGCAGCCAAAAATAAATAAATAAATGAGTAGTGAAGGTATAGACAGGCAGATGGAAGCCAGCTCTCCTGACAGCTAGACAAGCCCTTTCCTCCAAGTCAGTTTTTTCCCCCAAGACTTGCTGGGTGTGGCTGCTCCAGCAAGCTGGTTCACTTAGGTGAACCCTCTCCCTCTCCCCCCAAAGACTTTTAATACTAACGTTAACATGCTGTTTGTTTCCCAGCTCGGGATGATTGTAATGAGAGATAATGCCAACTACTCTGTGTGGGAAGCAGGAGTCCAGATTGGGGGGGGGGGGGGGGGGGGGCTCCTCCCCCAGCACAGGTCGCAGCTAGTCCGGGGAACCAAGTGCTTTTCCTCCGCCCACCCGGCCTCCAGACTCCCCTGCTTTTCTCTATAAACTACTTTTTCTCCATTCTTCATTTCGTACCCCTGGACTCACCGGCACACGGGCCTCTTTCTCTCCGCTGACCTCTGGTACCACTACAAGGTCCGAAAAGGAAACAGAAAACGACCCGAGTGTTGGGACCTTACATAATCCAGGGCGGGGCTCGGCAAACCCTCGGAAGATCGCCCCTCCCCTCTAACTCTGGCTTAAAGGGAAGAAATGCTGTTCGTGGATTAAAAAAAAAAAAAAAAAAAAAAAAAAGGCAGAATGAAGGAATTTATGGGCAGGTTGGGAGAGGAGTGAGCTGCATTTAGGTTTCTGGTTCTCAAACTGCTCAACAATGAACATCTGCAGGTTGCAGGCTGTGAAAACACAGATCTGCCCGAGTCCACGGAAATTCCCAGTTGTATGTCCGAAGGGAGATACCGGAACCTGATTTATTTCAAGCACTCTCTAGGTCGATTCTGAAGAGGTTTTTTCCGAGCTCCCGAGCCCACGGGGCCGCTCTTGAATTCTAGGATCCTAGTACATTCCCCACCGCCTCGGGTCGCCCCGGGAAGGAAAGAGTCCGCAGCGGAGCTGGCCTTCGAATCCCGTCCCGCCTACCTCAGAGGAAAGCAGAAACGGGACCCAGGAAAACACACACACAGAGGTTCTGTCAACGTTAGGGAGGAAACTAGACCCAGAGTGACTTTCTTCAAAGACCGGGGTGACTTTCTGAAACGATACAATAGCTGCAGAGCCGTGCGGTGCTTCAGCCTTTGCAAAATGCCAGAGTGAGCTCTGACTGGCTTTGGTCCTTGACCGGCCCCGGATGAGTAACGTGTGCTTGAAAGCGAGGGGATAAACTGTATGAGTGAGAGTGGAAAAGGAAGGAGGGAAGGTGAAGGGTTGAAGAAAGAAAAAGATAAGAGAAAGGGAGAAAAAAGCTACAGGGGAGATGAATTTTTAACTGTAATTTTATGATTTCCAACTTCTTTATTCTTCATCTAGATCTGTCTTTTGTTCAAGTGTGCTGTAACTGTTTGGTCTCTCTCTGAATGCATACGTAGACGGCTGTTTTTGTTACTGCCCAACCACTGAGGAGTAAATTGCCCAGTCTCTCCCTCCAGATGTGCAAGGCATAGCTCTCAGCAAAAAGACAAGGTGTCTTGTTTCTTTTGTTTACCTGACCAAAAGACTCATTCCAAAGAGATTTATATTTTAAAAATCAACTTTGAAAGTACATACTTTACATAAAACACCCTTTTGAAACACATAGCTGGTTGAGTTTAGACAATTTACATGCCCATGTCACCATTACCACGATGAAGATGTAGAACTATTGTTGTTTAGTCGCAAAGTTGTATGCAGCTCTTTGCAACCTCATGGACTGTAGCCTGCCAGGTTCCTCTGTTCATGAGATCTTCCAGACAAGAATACTGGATTGGGTTGCCACTTCCTTCTCCAGAGGATCTTCCCAAACCATGGGTCGATCCTGGGTCCCTTGCATTGGTGAGTGGGTTCTTCACCACTCAGCCACCAGAGAAGCCCCAGAGTCACCTAGGGTGGATGTCAAATTCCCTCAAAGAAATATCATTAAGAGAAAATCTTTGTGACACTTTAGTGAAGTTGCTCCGTCGTGTCTGACTCTTTGCGATCCCATGGGCTGTAGTCTACCAGGCGCCTCGGTCCATGGAATTTTCCAGGCATGTGTACTGGAGTGGGTTGCCATTTCCTTCCCCAGGAGATCTTCCCAACCCAGGGATCGATCCTGGGTTTCCCACATTGCAGGCAGATGCTTTACCATCTGAGCCACCAGGGAAGCCCCTGTGACACTTTAAGCCCACACAAATGCTCAAACAGAACCAACACCAGAAAACCAAAATCCTAGTTCAGATGAGATCTCTGAAGCTGGCTGTAATTCCTTGTGGGACGTGTTAGGTAGGAAGGATAACCTATTTAGGGCTATAGCTTAGTAGCCCCTACATCCTGGGAGCATCAGAAAGGACCCTAGATCTTTAGTTGCCCACAATGAGGTCATTCCTGGGGCAAAAGTAGAATCTTCTTGAATTCCTGAGGATTTTACATTTACTCAGTGACACTGTGGATGTTGATTTCATCTATGAACATTTTGGAATTAATTTGCTTTGACTCTAAATAAGGACCGAAAACATGAAGCCAGGAACTGATCTTGAACCATCGCCCCACCCCATAACTCATGTAATAATCCTAAGAGTTTCTGAGTCAATGAAATCCATGGTTAGAAAAACAGTAAATTCTCCCTTTCAACATGCTTCAGATATCTCAGCTTGCCTGGTAATGTTCTAACTTGAACCCCAGACTTAACATTTAAAATTTACATTTTTCTTGGTACAGATTTTTATTTTTATTTCTTTTAAATGTTTATTTATTTAATTTGGCTGTGCTGGGTCTTCATTGCATGGGCTTTTCTCGAGTTGTGATGAGTGGGGGCTACTTTCTAGTGGCAGTTCACAAGCCTCTCATTGCTGTAGATTTTCTTGCTGCCGAGCACAGGTTCTAGGGCGCACAGGCTTCAATACTTGCCAGCACATGGGCTCAGTAGTTGAGGCTCCTAGGCTCCAGAGCACAGGCTCAACAGTTGTGGTGCATAGGCCTGTTTCCCTGTGGCATGTGGGATCTTCCCAGATCCGGGATCAAACCCGTACCTCCTTCATTGGAAGGCTGATTCCTTACCACTGAGCCACCAGGGAAGCCCTGATTTTTATTTTTTATTTTTTTTTCCTCTTTTTTTTTTTGGTTGTTGTTGTTGTTGTTGTTTTCATTTATTTTTATTAGTTGGAGGCTAATTACTTTACAACATTGCAGTGGTTTTTGTCATACACTGAAATGAATTAGCCATGGATTTACATGTATTCCCCATCCCGGTCCCCCCTCCCACCTCCCTCTCTGCCCTATCCCTCTGGGTCTTCCCAGTGCACCAGGCGGGAGCACTTGTCTCATGCATCCAACCTGGGCTGGTGATCTGTTTCACCCTAGATAATATACATGTTTCGATGCTGTTCTCTTGAAACATCCCACCCTCGCCTTCTCCCACAGAGTCCACAAGTCTGTTCTATACATCTGAGTCTCTTTTTCTGTTTTGCATATAGGGTTATCGTTACCATCTTTCTAAATTCCATATATATGTGTTAGTATACTGTAATGGTCTTTATCTTTCTGGCTTACTTCGCTCTGTATAATGGGCTCCAGTTTCATCCATCTCATTAGAACTGATTCAAATGAATTGTTTTTAATGGCTGAGTAATATTCCATGGTGTATATGTACCACAGCTTCCTCATCCATTCGTCTGCTGATGGGCATCTAGGTTGCTTCCATGTCCTGGCTATTATAAACAGTGCTGCGATGAACATTGGGGTGCACGTGTCTCTTTCAGATCTGGTTTCCTCGGTGTGTATGCCCAGAAGTGGGATTGCTGGGTCATATGGCAGTTCTATTTCCAGCTTTTTAAGAAATCTCCACACTGTTTTCCATAGTGACTGTACTAATTTGCATTCCCACCAACAGTGTAAGAGGGTTCCCTTTTCTCCACACCCTCTCCAGCATTTATTGCTTGTAGACTTTTGGATAGCAGCCATCCTGACTGGTGTGTAATGGTACCTCATTGTGGTTTTGATTTGCATTTCTCTGACAATGAGTGATGTTGAGCATCTTTTCATGTGTTTGTTAGCCATCTGTATGTCTTC